AGGGGCTGTCCGAGCAGTCTTCCTTAGGCGGTTCGGCTGCAATTGGAGCAGTTGGAGCTTTAGTCTCTTTGAAGACTTTGTGGATCTTGCGCATAGCCTTGGGGCTAAGGGATCCGGATGAGAGAGCCTCCTCAAACTTGGCTTGATCAAACTCAACCATGAGAGTTTCGACGGTTGTTCCAGTGAGATGAACGTCGGATTGCGCCACCACTTCTTCGTCAGAGAAGCTTTTCCCCAGCGGAGTCGCCATCTTTTGTTTGTGGGAAAATTTATAGTAAAAAGACAATGAAGGAAAATTTGATTTGTATTCCTTTAATCTCAGTTACAATTGGATTTCCTGATTACAAAAGAGAGGAGAATGATCTGGATTCTCCCCTTTGTTTAATTCTGGGTTCTTCACGGTGGCGATGAGATGCCTCCCTCGAATGCTCGCGTCGAGTTTGCTTCTCGTTGACGATCCGATGTCTTGTTTCACTGGAACGTGGTCTTCTCCTCACGATTTGACGTTGTGGAGAACTCTGAACGAGTTTAAACTCTATGAAAGAGTTGATTTAACCGAAAGTCGGTTATAAGCCAAGGATGAAGAAGATCTTGTTGCTGATCTCCAAAGCTCCAACCGAAGGATGAAGGATCCTCTTTTCGCTGCCAAGAAGTTCCAACAGACCCGAAAGATCCAGCCCCGAACTAAGTTGATTTCTTAGTTATTTATAGGGGATTAAGGGGTGTAACCACCTCCTTAATTCGCTCCTAAGTGGGGCTAATAGGATGTAACCACCCCTTAAATCACTCCTGAGTGGAGTTGTGATCCCCTCAGATCGTGGGAAACGGTTTTGAAACCGTTCAACTCGTGTTTGAACGAGTCAAACGCAGATCCTGCATTCTGGCATGAAGGAAGTTCAGACGCAGCAATTAGAAGCTGCGTTTGCAGCGTTGGAATCTACGTCTGAGCTGCGTTTGCAGCGATTTGGAAGCTGTGTTTGAGCTGCGTTCGTGGCTATGAACACGGTGCGTCTTGATGCTGGTGTGCGGGGAGGACTTCCGCAGCTTGATTTGAAGAGACCGTCGATTTGTAGTCTCTTTCTGTCGAAGCGTTGCAAAGATCGTCATTTTGTAATCTTTGCTTTAGCTCTCTGATATATGAGAGTCGTCAGATTGTAACTCCCGATGTTGATTATGAAGGCTGTTTGATTAGAGCTTCAAAAACAGTTGTCGTGAAGGTCGTCAGATTGTAACCTTTAGCGATCTACGTGAAAGTTTTCAAATTGTAGCCCTCTGGAAGTCGTCAGATTGTAACTTCCATCATCAGTGTTTTGATGGGGATCAACTATCTATTGTGATTTTTTTTTGACAACCTACACATAGCACTTAGCTCTCACAATTCCGGTTGGCTTTGCTCTGATACCATTTGTAACGTCCCGCCCCGGAATCCCGAAGTCGGTATGTTATTAGCTCTGATGGACTGGCCTCACAAACCACTACATGTCTTTTCAGCACGTTTTGTCCTCACTCACACGCTCCCTGGAAAACTTCCCAGGGGGTCACCCATCCTAGAATTTCTCCAGGCCAAGCACGCTTAACTTTGGAGTTTCTAAGAGTTGGGTTTCCAAAAAGAAGATGCATCTTGATGGTATGAGTATTCCAATCAAATCTATCAATACTAATCACATCACCCTCTCAAGGGTTGGGGTATTACAAAAAGATTAACCTTTATTGTGCTATTTCGATTTCAGTTTTGAGTAGTTACTTGATCTTTAGAAATTTGGTTAATGATGGCTAGGGATGATATAACCATGAAGTTAAAAGCTAAAGTTTCTAAAATTCGTCAATGATAGTTAATGATCATTTTTAGAAATTTAGGAGGGCTTTTATTGAGGAGAAAATGAAGATTTCTTCTGCCACAATTGACGAGAGAATGAACTATTGATATGTGCTCAGATCTGAATATTTCCTGTAAAGTAATGAACTATTGATATGTGCTCAGATCTGAAGATTCACTCTGTCAAAATTTTGTTCATTTTCTATTTATTTCTCCTTAATATTAATAACGAATCTTTGAAAATACACATTAATAAAGAGATTATTATACTTAGTTGATTTATGGTAGTGAATTTTAATATTTGATAATATTTTTTAGACAAGTTAATTATCATATTCCATAATTTTTCTCTTAGAATCAGTGATAGGGAACTTCTATGGTTTTCAGGTGATGGAGAAGGTCGTTAAGAAGATCTCGGAGTAGGAAATTTCCACGCCTAAATAATGCAAGACCCTATTTAAGCCTGTAATAGTTCTATTTCAGGTTTTGCACTTATTTCTCTTCTTCTTACTGGCTTTGTTTATTTTTCCCCCTAATGATAAATTTACGATATTATAATGTTTATCTTTGAGGCACGATATAGTTAAGAGGTTACTTTGCATTATTTTATATGATGAAGTAAAATATGCATCAAGAGATAACTCCATCGTAAAAATTCATGATTGGTTGTCACTAAGTGACTGACTCATGAATATATGTTATATTGAATGTAGAGTTTTGTTGCTATATTATTTTATTAGGCCATTATGTATGAGTTATTGTAGTAGTATTGTTATATTTGTACCATACAATATTATTAGGCATCTATTTTCCAAATGCAGCTCATTTGATGTTCTTCATAGTTGCTAGCTGTAGGAACCAGTTTGTATAAAAATAAAATTGAGATCAAATAACATTAACAAATTGTAGAAAAGAGGTGAGGATCGTGCTTGGTACGGGGTACATACTAGTATATACAAATGGGAGAACCCAAGATTCACTATTCATGCTACAGTAAATGATACGATAACTTTTACTGTAGTATTATTACTACAGCAAACATGAAACTGGGCACTGTAGATTTTTTTGAAAAATATTACTGTATCACACGGGAATACTATAGCAGGGACGGGATACCGCAGCAATTCAAAAAAATATTGTAGCAATTAACTGGGATTACTGTAGTGAAAAAAAAAGTATGTCGTGCTTTGTATGGTGTTC